CAGGAGCTTGTCGGACAGCGAGAATCACCCAGGAAGGAACACACTGGATTAAGTGGCAAATAGACCTTTATTAGTCTGGCCAGATGGCACTCCCAGAGCCAAGTAGCCGAGAGAGACAACTAGCTCAGAGTCAGAGGCTTTTTAAATAGGGCTGTGGGGGGAGTTAACACTTGAAACTTACAGGAAGGGAACAAAGGCAAGTGGTCAGTTGATCCGAGCTGGTAGTCATCAATCATGTACTCGACCGTTACGTACTAATGGTCAGCAGATCAATTATCCATTGTTTTATAGATTGTGGTGTTCAGAACATTCAGTTATGGACAAACAAGGAGTGGAGTGATTTACTTTCGGTCTTTATGTTTGTTACAGTTTCTATCTAGTTTCCCAGAACTACCAAGCAGTTACCTATTAGTTCACAATCAATCATTACTTATCTTATGGGGGAGCACAACAATCTCTGGGTCATTTGCTGGTCAACGTGGAGTCGCTCTAGTTTAGTCAGGTCTTACAGTTGAAGCCATGGTCCTCAGGACCCAGGCTGCTCTATGATGAGTAAGAGGCAGAGGAGAGGAAATAGGGTCAGGAAGCAGGCTACAGTGGTAGTAGTTAGGGGGCACAGAAGCCAGGGTTAGTTTCTGTACTCCTCCCAGCAAAACCCATTCAGGGGAGAGGCTCACAGTAGAGTGCTGGCTGCTGCTTCTGGAGGTGAGGGCCAGAAGGGACCCAGTGAATGGCTGAGGACTTCTTGTGACAAAGCAGCTGTCACCTGACTTTAGAAGGAAAAGTAAAGGTAGAGAGAACACAGATTGCAGGAACACATAGGGCAGGGCTCCTGTTTGTCCCTAGGATTTCCAGCAAGCCAGTCTTCTTCCTGTGATGAAGCCCTCAGAGAGTCTCTGTCCTTGTCCTCCTTGTCCTTTGTGTCTACCTGTTATCTGTCTCTACCACATTTTTGGGAACTTACAGTGCTGGGTCCTCCTCAGGCACTGCTGCTGCCCATGGGCTGTCGCTGTCCTGCTTCTGCATCCTAGCTGCTCCCTTCCTGTCCTGAGGAAGTCATTGCACACTGACTCAGTCAGGCTGTAGGTAATCAGTCTGTCCCTTCGTCTCCACGTCACTGGGCTCTCAGTGGGTTCTTCCTGGATACAGGGAGTAGCTTTCATTATCTGTTCCACCTGTGCCATTCTGAGGACAAACGTCAGTCGCCTAAGACTGGAGGCTTTTGTTTGCGTTTTCCAAACCTAAAGAAGCCTCCATGAGCAAAGCCATCAGTGTGCAATCTCAGGGTCAAGTCTTTTTTTTTTCCTTTTTATTGAGTTTATTGGTACAATCTAGGTATACAGTAGAGTTACATTCATTACTGGGATCCTGTACATGAATGACATGACAGGTCTTGGTTCTCATTTTTTCCCCTTGTCCCTGCCCTCCCTTCACCCCCTCTTCCCCTCCCCATTTAAAAACACTTTATTTCCATTTTTTCATTTTCTCATATTTTTTTCTTTTCCCTTGTTCCCTTTCCCCTACCATTCCCACTTCCCTACACCTTTCACCCTTTTCTTCTTATTTCACACTATTAATTATCCCATTAGGCTCTTGTTTACTATTATAGTTTTTCACACCAGAGAGGCTCCTTGGTATTTACACATGTGTGACTTATTTATTTCTCGAGTATATCCTCAATATGTATCCATTTTCCTATGAATGACTCTAATTTCTCATTCTTTATGGCTGAGTAGTATTCCATTTTATAGAAAAACCACATCTTTATCCAGTTTTCAGCAGATGGGCAAATGGGCTATTTCCAAGTTTTAGCTATTAGAAACTGTGCTGCTATAAACATTGGTGCACATATATTCAAGGTCAAGTGTTGAACTGTGGTTGGCTAGACTCTTTTCTAGGTCCCATTCAGTGAACACTGGTAGTGTGTAAAGCAGTGATTCAGTTTCCTAGCAGTAGGCTACACATGCACCTGAAAAGAGCACAATCTGAAATTAATATTATTTAAACTTGCTTTTGGTCCTTTTGTTACACTTCATATTTTAAGTAGCACTAAAAGTAACTGGGTGTGATGGCATATTCCTGTAATTTCCGCATTCAGGAGGCTGAGGCAGGAGGATCATTGCAAGTCTGAGGCCAGCCTGGGCTACGTAATGAGTTCAAAACCAGCCTGGACTACATACATGGTGGGACCCTGTGTCAAAAAAACAAAATAACAGTAAAGAATAATAATAACATAAATGATATTGTGTTGTGGATTTGTAATGTTTTGTTGAGGAAGGAACTGGTAAGTGACATGCGCAGAGATGCATAATGGAAGTAAAATAATAAAAAGTTAAATTTGTGGACAAAAGGCCAATCGCACTAAGAGCAGTGCCAGAGATCAACCCTGTACTGGCTTACAGCTCCTTTTATAGGGTTTCATAGTCATGATCTCATTCAGGTGGTTATATTGCATTTCCTCAGTTAACATTTACTGATATACAAATCACAGTCACAAGACAGTTAACTTTTAACCCAGATGTAGCAATTCTTTGTAGTTAGGATGTTTACCTTTAGGATTCACCTAGCTATCCTAGGCCTGGGGAAGTGGTGCTCAAGGTCAGGGAAGCAAAGTTAAACAATTGTTCTTTTTACCTTGACACTTTTACAATCATGTGTTTTATAAAACCTCAGTACTCAGGGTCTTGATGTGCCCTCTTATCTCAGGGTAGGCCAGATGTCCCATTCTGTGTCTGTTGCCTCTAATGTCTATTAATTTTGAACTAAGCAAAGCAGATTTCAGGTAGAAGAGCAGTCATTCTATATTTTAATATTGTCTATGTCTTTACAAAAGTTCTATCAAGTTTAGGCCTGAAGCCAGTAATAGTCGTGTCTTTAAGAACTGCCGTGTTTCCTAAAATCCATTTTACTCAGTGTGACTTGGAAACTAAATCTTTAAGAAGGAAGTTTCTCATTGATAGGTTAATAATAAGTTAATATGATGGTTTTCTTTAAAATAAAAAAGAGACGGAGAGACCAGTGTAGAGACAGTAGTCCTAGTCTCACCACTGTGCTCTGGCCTTGTAGCTGCTCACATTGGAGACAAGACAGGTACTTGTCTACAGACAACCTTTACCAGGTCTGCAGCTTGTCTGCACTGCAAAAATTGGGTCAAAATAAAAAATTAAGAGAATAGATAAAACTGGAAATGATACAATAAACACTTATGCACTAAAAACACAGTTTGGTTAAGCTTTAACATTTTTAACATACTTTACTCAGTTTTTAAAACATTATGGGGAAAACATAAGCCACCTCTTTCCTTCTGTGACCTCATTCTATGCCCACTTCTCCATAAACACTATTTGAATTTGACTTTTATTTCATGTAGTTTTTAATGCTTTTTCATATTAATATATTGCTTTATCTTTGAGGCCAAATTAATTTAGTCATTTACTTAATACCACTGAATTGTGACTTTAAAATGGTTAAGATAGTAGATCCATACAAACTTTTCCAAGAAAATAAAAATTTAGTGGAGAACCAGTATAACTGGACTACAACCAGTGCTTTTTTTGTTTTTGGTTCTAGTTTTGGTTTTTTGAGACAGGGTCTCACTATGTAGTTGAGACTGACCTGGAACTCACTATGTAGCCCAGGCTGGTCTCGAATTCATAGCAGTCCTCCTGCCTCAGCCTCCCGAGTGCTGGAATTACAGGCGTGCACCACCACACCCAGCTCAACCAGTGCTTTTTAAAAGAGGAACCCTCTCTATTCCCATTGGTTGGTTGTTTTATATAAAGTATTGTGACAAGGACATCCATCTTCCACTGCAAATCTTAGGTCTAGTATTTATTTATTTGGGGAGGATGAAGGATGAGTACAATTTCACACCCCCTATTTATATATTCATTCCCATCTGACACAAACTTAGGACAGTTTGTGTGACTAATTAAAGGGAAGGAGGTGAAATAGAGGGTTTTGGTAAATGCAAAGTTACATATTACCAAGCCTCTACTAATTGTCACACACTGCTCATGGTTTTCCACGTTTGGTCATTTAATTTCATGACTCTTGAGTTGGATGTTTCCATTCAGATATGAAAGTTTATAATTCACTGACCCCAGAGCTGTCTGTGCATGCTGGCCCTAGAGAACTGGCTCTAGCTGGTTTGTTTCTGCATCTTGGTGTGGTTAGTCAGCAAGACCAGCAGATGAGGGCTCTAGGTCTCCTGTCCCATGACTTTGCCAACGAGTATTGCTGTACAAGTAACTCACAGACAAGGTTCTGCATGAACACATGCACATACACACACACCACACAACTACTGAATGGTAGGCAGGGATACTAACATACAGTCTGTGTAAGTTGCAGAACTGGGGTGTCCAGCAGGGTCATCCACCAGCCACCTGTGGCTATAAATGTAAGAGTTCAGTCAGACTTTTTCAGTCACGTGCCATGTGTCAGATCATCAGGGCGCTGCCCTGGGGTTGCCTCAGTAGGCAGGCAGGCAGCCAAAACTCTCATCACTGCACAGAGTTGGGTTGGCTGAGCTGCTCAGAGTCCTGGTGCTCTGCCCCTGATGTGTGGAGAGCTCTCCAAACCCAGGGAGGTGGCATAAAGTAGAGCGGAGGATATTCTGCCGTCAGACTGGCTGACTTAGCAGGACTGGCTGGCGACATTTCTTCCTGTGTTCTCAATGAGAAGACTTAGAGCACTAAATTGGGTCCATTCTTTATCGAGCTGTGTATGGTCAGTTAAATCTAGCATACAACCTACAAGGCTTACCTGATGCTCTTGAGCATGTTAGGTCAGGAGTCATGGCTCGTTCCTAAAGTCATCTTTATAAAATAAGCCTCCAGTTCTATATACAATGCCCCTTAACCTGCCTGTGTCTGCTCCCGTGGCAAAAGTTGGTCAGCTCGCTGGCGCCCCCTTGAGGTTCTGCCATGGACTTTGGAGACGCTAACTTCATAGCCCACAAGAGCATACACAGCCCATTGATCTGTGTTTCCACCCAGGAATAAAAGCTGTGGCTTCATCTTGTTCATATCTGGAAGCGGTTTCTCTGAAAAGATGCTGCAGCCTCACTGATGAAGGAGTCCTCGCTCTTGCACGCAACTGCCGGCTGCTCGAGTTTGTTGACTTAAGCGGCTGCCTAAGCATCACTGACGTGTCCCTGTGTGCGTTAGGAGAGAGTTGCTCGCTGTTGAAGTATGTGGACTTTTCAGCTACTCAGGTAAGTAACCGACACACCGGGAAGGAAAGGTTTCTGCGGGACTCATGTGTTTCCATGACCAGTCAGAACATCATTAATTGTTTCTGTTGGAACTGTTGGCCGCTTCATGTTTGGGGTGGCTAATTATAATTTGAAAAAAAAAAATGATAGTATAATTTGGCATAATCTCCTTCATTAAGTAGCATGAGTGGGAAGTGTGTATGAGGAAAACTCGTGTTTGATGCATAGAAGGCAGTTAATCCAAACAATTAGTAAATTTTAGAAAATTCTGCTTTCTTCATCTTTATTCATGGGCTGTTTCTTTTTCCCTTTGCTTAGGTATCCGACAGTGGAGTGGTTGCGCTTGTTAGTGGGCTCTGTGCCAAGAAATTAGAGGTAACTTAAATAGCTATAACAATAATGGCAACTAAATTTTGTTATCCCCAGAAATTATTTCTTAAACCTAGTAGACCAGTGTCTTATCAATCAGATATTTCACGGAATTTTTTTTGCCCCAACCTCTTTATTCCCAGAGTAAATAAAAATCAGTAAAGTGAAAAAATGAAAGCACATTAAAAATCCCAGAGAAAAAAATTTTTTTTTTGTTTTTTGAGACAGGGTCTCACTATGTAATTGAGACTGACCTGGAACTCACAATGTAGCCCTTGGCTGGTCTGGAACTCACAGCGATCCTCCTGCCTCAGCCTCCCGAGTGCTGGGATTACAGGCGTGTGCCACCACACTAGGCCCCCAGTGAAAATCTTACTTCCTAAAAGTTTTAGCTTCTAACAGATCCAGGGGTCTCCTGATGTGTGATGCTTGTGAAAGCTGATCTCCTCATTGTTGAGGAGTTTGTGCCTGACTGACACTTCCTCTCGGACAGCTGACCCTTTCTCATCCCGTCCTTCCAGACAGCAGCACCATCCAGCCATGTAAAAGGCCATCCAAGAGCAGATGTGTGCACTTCATAGTCCACTGTTTTATGTCTTTCCTTTTCATTACCCCTTTTATTTAGCGTGATGTTGGGAGAGTTGTGTGTGCCGCCACGTGTGGGAACACCGCATTCCTTTTCGTTGCTGCGCGCTGTAATTTGTGTATACTTTCCACAGGCAGTGGGCATTTGGGGCTTTGTAAGTTCTGCTGTAGACATCTGTGTCTTTGTTCAGACACATTTTCATCTCTCTGGTTAAAAAGCTGGAAGTGAGGGCCAGGGATTTAGCTCAGCGGTTCGGTGGCCTGCCTTGCAATCGCAAGGACCCGAGTTCAATCCATTGTACCAAAAAACAAAACAAAACAAAACAAAAAAAACCACAAAAAACAAAAAGCTGGAAGTGAAATCGCTGGGTGTGCAGCCAACACATGCTCAGCTTTGTCAGATACAACGGCTCTGTTTCCCAAGGTCTGGACTAACATGGGAGACCTATATTCGCTCTTACAAGGGTGTATTTTCAATTAGAAACACTCATGTCTGTAAGTTTTATTTTATGAAAAAATTAGGCTTCATAACAAAATAAAGATGAAATGAATAGTCAGTCCACTGTATTACTGAGCTAAGTGCTTAGCTCCGTGTGTATCAGGGTCCCCACACTTTTTCACACTGTCCCTGCTGATCAGTTTTCCTCTTTGGTTCTCTTTTGTATCTAGGAGATTCACATGGGACACTGTATTCACCTGACTGATGCTGCCCTGAAGGCCATCATCACTCACTGTCCTCACATCCGGATTTTACACTTCCTTGATTGCCCGCTAATAACAGGTCAGTCTGATAGAATGCTTGTGTTTCCATCCTGGCTTCATCTTCTGTTCACTACAGGAAATCCTCCGTCCTTCCCAGGACTGTTTCCTCATCCGTAAAGCAGCCATGTCACCGTACTTAGGCCATGGCTTCCTTGGGATGAGTGTTAAGTGCACAGAGAGAGCTCCATGAGTACGGGTCACGGTGGAGGCGGCAGAAGTGGTGAAGGCTCTGTATCCACCGCCTGTGTGTCTGTGGCCGTGATACTGTACCTCATGCTTAAGTACATCAGACGTTTTCAATTCAGAATGACTTGTACTCAAGCTGGTGTGGCTCTTCCCTAAGAAGCATAAAGCAGCCATAGCCCATGGGAGTGTGTACAATGGAAACGCAGTGCTAGATCCTACCACAGAAACTGTAACATTCCCTGGGCCTCCTGTAAGTCAGTAGTTCTGCCTGGTCCATCCAGACCAGGCCTCTGATTGTCATGGAAGCAGTCATTCTGCAGGTTCTTACTCTCCTGGGAGTCCCTTGGCTGATATGTTTATCTCTTCTTATGTGTGGACAACCGGCCTCGACCAAAAGTCTAGCCTCATTTCTCCAGAACTAGAGCCAAAAGGGACATGTAAGGAACTGTTAATATACCAGGCATGCTAGTGTACACCTACAAGGGCAGCATGGAACAGAGTGAAACCCTGCCAAGAAACAAAAACAAAAACCCTGTTATAAATAGTTGTCTCTAGGGAAACTTATAAAGGGTCAACTGGAAAAAGATTTCACCCTGTAGCCTTTGGTTTGAATTTTGTAACATGGATGATTTTAACCCACTAAAATAAATAATAATAACATAATTTAGGGGCAGAAGAATTCATTGCAATGAGACTTGGTACATTTTGTGTACACATTCTAGGTGAGAAGGCAGAAAATTGTATTCTAACATAGGATGTCTTTTTTGTTTTGTGTTTTGAGACAGGATCTCACTATGTAGTTCAGACTGCTCTGGAACTCAGTGTGTAGCCCAGGCTGGCCTCAAACTCGCAGTGATCCTCCTGCCTCAGCCTGCCAAGTGCTGGGATTACAGGCGTGCGCCACCACGCCCAGCTACGTGGGCTGTTCTTAAATAGAATGCTTGATAGCTCTAATGCTTACTAGCTTACAGTATAACCCTTAGTATATCTTTTTCAGAATCCCTGCTGAAAATATTATCTACCCTGTAAACTGTATGTGCATTTAGCTGAACAAGCAAGAGATACTCATCATGTGACTCTTATTTGGGGCACACTATTTTAATTATTGGGTTGCACTGTTTTAATCACAACTGTGTTCTGCAGGGGTTAACTTCTCCCTGAACCAAGATGAAATCTCAAACTCCTGCAACTGATTTTTCTTGGCACTCTGTGATGTCTTGGCATTTCTTATCACAAATACCCTCTTCTTGCAGTTGCAGAATGTTTTAGATGTCTTTCAGGGTCCAAACAAGCTCAAGCTGGAGCTCCTGGCTGCCCTGCTCAGGCTCTTGTTGTAGGGGAGGGCTGTGGTCAGTAAGGGACACCAGCGCCATTGGTGCCACACAGGATGGACTCATTTCTGTCTTTCAAACTGAGTCCTTGGTGCTTCAGAGACACTGCATACTAATATCAAACAAAAGAGCAAAAGCCTGCTTCCTGGATGAGGGCAGGAGGAGAGGTGAAGGAATAATGGGGTGACACCACCATCACTGGCACGGCGCCGACCCGCTCATGGGCACTTCTGAGATCCCACCTGCTGCCGCTGCCCTCGTCACTGTCAGCACAGTGTGTCCTGCCCGAAGGTCTGGACACAAGCACTTGTGCTCCCCTGACGAGCTGCCGTGCTTTCTTCTGCCCACAGCTCCTGGCAGGACACTTCCGTCCCTTCTCTTCAGGTTTCCTTGCTCTCCAGGTTGCTCTCACAGGCAAAATACCTGTGTAAGGCAGCTTGGTTCCAGCTGTGTGAGCCTGTGGGAAAGAAACATGGTTTGAGCAGGAAGAGTGCCCGTGTTTCTCAGCGCTGGCCTCTCTTCATGCCTGAGCCAGCACGATAGCCTTTTGCCCTTTTGTTTGATATTAATATACCGTGTCTCTCAAGCTCGGAGGGCACAGGTAGAGTCCTTATTACGAGCTGGAGAAGAAACAGCATCCTCAGCACACCATCACAGTTGAAATTAAACCCTTTTTCAGTTTCCTTTTTGGTGGGTCATACTGTTTAGCTCAGGCTGGCCTCCAACTCACAGTCCTCCTGCCTCAGCCTCACAGGAGCTGGGATTACAAGGCTGTGCGCCCATGCCCAGCCTTTCTCCAGCTGCCAGCTCTCCTTCTCCTCCTTAACACTATTTTAAAGTAGAGTAGGCACCATGGATCCTCAAATCCGTTTTCATCCACTCCTTTGAAAGGCATGAACAGGCAGTCTGGTAGGTGCCTCATTCTGTTGGGTTATTTTGTTTTGTTGTTTTTGAAACAGTCGCACTGTTCAGTTCAGACTGGCCTTGAACTCAATACATAGCCCAGGTTGGCCTTGAACTCATAGCGATGTTCCTGCCTCAGCCACCTGAGGGCTGGGATTATAAGCGTGCATCCCATGCCTGGCTGGTGCCTCATTCTGGCATGGTACATGGTACCTCTAGTCCTGGAACTGGTCTGAAGTGTCACCTTAGGGTTCTCTTATATTTGTCTGAGGATGCCTTGGCTACATAGCAAGTATAAAATCAAGCTTTGCTAATTTTAACTTAAGCTTGCGGTTAGTGTTTAGAAGTGATTAAATTGATATTTCCCCCTCTATCTTGATAGATAGTAATTCAGAAAGAATGTATACAGTTAACCAGAAACCTTATCATTAGGCAAAGTGCTTAAAATAATTATCAAAAACCCCAAGGAGGGCCAAGAATTTATCTCAGTGGTTCTGCTACCTGCCTGGCAAGCACAAGGACTGGAGTTCAGTCCTCGGTACCCCCCAAAAAAGTCGAAGGATAGCATGGTGGTGTATCCTTGGAGTCCCAGCAGTAGGAGGCTAAGATAGGACGATTAGGAATTTGAGGCTGGCCTGGACTACATAATGAGATGCTGTCTTAACAAACAAAGCACAAAAATTACTCGCCAGTGCAGTCCCCAGCATCCACTGCTCCATTCCACTGGGGCGTTACTCCATGGAGGCCTCTGAGGTCAGCAGTACTCACAGAACCTCTGCAGGTTTGAGCCACCCTCCCATGGCACGAGCTGGGGCTCAGAGAGAAATCGCCACTTGTCACCTCTCTCCTCCACATTGTGGTACTTCTCTTTGTGCTCTCCCTGTGGACTTCAGTTCTCAGTTCAGTCCTCCCTGCTCCTCCTCTCTCTCTCTCTGTGCTATATTCCAGTGTCTGAATTTCAATATAAGCTTTCTCTACTGTTCACCATTCTGCTATCTTCTCAGAAATTTGCAATATGAGTTTCAAAGAGGACAAACCATACTGAAACTCCAGCAGATTAGGGGAAGGGCACAAAGTTTCGTTCAAGTCTTTTTTTGTTTGTTCAGATTTTTGAGACAGGGTCTTGCCTTGTAGGCTGGTCTCAAACTGACAGTGCACCTCCCACCTCAGCGCTGAGGGCTGGGATTACAGGCGTGTGCCACCACGCCCCGCTGCTACCAACTCAATTCATCTTTGTGATTTAAAAATCATACCTGACCTCTAAGAACTGTTCATCCTGGAAAGCAGCATAGTCCTTGAACAAGTATATGTTCAAGAAGTAGAGATGCTTTTCCACTTTTGTGAGCTAAATAATTGGATTTACTGCTTCGTGTCAAAATTTTAACATGTTTTAAAATCAAAATTTATTTTGCATTTGATGGTGCTGTTTTAATCTGTTATAGTTAAGCTATGCCTAGTGATTACCCCATTAGTTCATAAGAAGACTGGTATTACATTTAACTGACATGCCTTAACCCTATGATAGAATAGAGAACTTGATACCAACTTTTTTTTTTTTTTTTTTTTTTTTTTTTTTTTTATTTGGTATCAGGAATTGAACTCTCGTCCTTGTGCTTGCGAGGCAGTGGTTGGAACCACTGAGCTAAATCCCCAGCCCTGTTCACTTAGATTTATGTAAAAATTTAAAACTCAAGCATATTTAATTCAAAACTTAATGCCCAATCATGTGTTTGATTTGTATCTACAGTTTATCAAGAGATTTTGCTATGTATCTACATATAGGAGCACCTGCTAAATATTTTGTATATTTCACCTCTAAAAATAATAAGCATTAAACAGATGTCATTCTGTTTTTTAAAAAGCCCAAAAAAGGATAATAATGAAGTATTTAGAAAGTTCTATCAAAAAAGTACAGTTCAGCAAAGTCAATATTTTTTTTAATTGAGTTTATTGGTATATTCTAGGTATACAGTACAGTTACATTCATTGTTGGGATCTTGTACCTTTACATGACAGGTCTTGCTTGGTTCTCATTTTTTCCCCTTGTCCCTACCCTCTCTTCACCCCTCCTCCCCTCCCCATCTACAAACACTTTATTTCCATTTTTTCATTTTCTCACATTTTTTTCCCTTATTCCCCTTCCCCTCCCCTTCCTACTTTCCCTACACCTTTAGCCCTTTTCTTCCTACTTCACATTGTCAATTATCTCATTAAGATCTTACATATTATTATAGTTTTTTACACCAGAGAAACTATTTGGTATTTACACATGTGTGACTTATTTATTTCACTTAGGAGTATATCCTCAATATGTATCCATTTTCCTATGAATGACTCGAATTTCTCATTCTTTATGGCTGAGTAGTATTCCATTTTATAGAAAAACCACATCTTCTTTATCCAGTTTCCAACTGATGGGTAAATGGCCTATTTCCAAGTTTTAGTTATTACAAACTGTGCTGCTATAAACATAGATGTGCATATGTCACTGTGATATGATTCTTTTAATTCTTGTGGAAAGATACCCAGCAGAGGGATGGCTGGGTTAAATGGAACCTCTACTCCCAACTCTTTGAGGTATCTCCATATTGATTTCCAC